CCGAGGTTCTGGCGGTGGTAGTACGGCACGGCGCTGTCCGTGACAGTCTTGGGATACGTAAACGGCAGCTTCCCACTCGGGACCACCTTGCCCAAGAGGACGTCGGCAATGGCGCGACCTCCCAGCTCACATGGCAGCATCGCATTCACCACGGCATGGGCGACGTCGGGAAGACCTCGCAGCAACCGAGGACGGCCTTGCACAAGCACCAACACGACCTTGGTTCCTGTCGCTGCCAGTGCACGCACGTACTCTTGTTGGCCTCGAGGCAGCTCCAGGTCGTTGATGTCGCCAGGCTTCTCGGCGTACGGCCCTTCGCCCAACACGACGATGGTGTAGTCGGCTCGCGCCGCCTTCTTGACGGCATCTTCGAGCACGTCCTTCGAGTACGTGCCGTCGACGTCGACACCCGGCATGGCTTCGATGGCGCAGGTCGGACACGTGACTCGCAGTGCGTCTTGCACAGTCTGTCCGTGGGGAAACAAAGCGTTCGTGTTCGGCCCCGACACGCCCTGCCACGCGAGGCTCCAGCCCCCGCAGAGGTGACCAATGCTGGCGATCGACGGGCCCGTGAGGAAGATGCTCGAGGTCCAATGCGCAATCGGCAGCGTCGAGTTGGCATTCTTGAGGAGCACGAGCGACTCGGTTGCGAGCTTGTACGCGAGGTCCTGACTCGCTCGGTCGCCTACCGACGCCACGTTCGCTTGGCCCGGCACGGGCGCGTCGTACAGATGAAGCCGCAGCTTGAGCGCCGTGATTCGCTGGACAGATTCCCGCAGCCGACCGACGTGGAGCTGCTTGGTCTCCAGCAACGCGAGAGTGTGGTTGATGAAGAGCGTATCGGACGCGACCATGCTCATGTCGATGGATGTGTGCGTGAGCGCTTGGCGCACCGCGTCCTGGTCGGTGGCCGCGACATGGTGGAACGAATGGAGGTCATTGATGACGGCCCAGTCCGTCACTAGCATGCCCTTGAAGGCCAAGTCGTGGCGAAGCAGCTTGACGAGTAACTTGTGGTTGACGCCCATGGGCTTGCCGTTCACGGACACGTAGTTCATCATGCCCGTGAGCGCGCCGGCGTCGATGGCCGCCTGGAACGGCGGCATGTAGTAGTTGAGCACGTCGTAGTCGGAGAGCGTGACGGGGTCTCGGTCGTGGCCCGTGGGGGTCGCCGCGTACCCGATAAAGTGTTTGAAGCATGCCGCGACAGTGTTGTTGTCTTGGAGGCCGTGGACGATGGCACGTCCGAGCTCTGTCACCACGTACGGGTCTTCGCCGAACGTCTCGTACGCGCGAGCCCACATCTTGGACGTCTGGACGTCAAGAATCGGCCCAAAGATCCACGGTATTCCCGCCGCCTCCGTGTCGCGACCGGTCACATGGCCCATCTCGGTCACCAGGTCGCGATTGAAGGATGCGGCCGCGTTGATCTGCTGCGGAAACATGACTGCGTGGGTCACGTAATTGGCCCCATGGACCGAGTCCAGTCCGTACAGGATCGGGTGTTTGCTGTGCTTGGCATGGATCGACTGGATGGACGTGAGGAGCGTGCGCCACTCTGTCGCCGTCCACCCGGCCTTGGATCCGACGGGGCCACCGGCGAACGGCGAATTCAAGTACGACCCGATGTGGAGTTTGGCCATGGCCTCGACCTTGGTAACGTTGAGCGTCCTGTCGCTGTTGAGGATTGTCGAAATGTCGACTTGGGTCATTTGCCCCACGAGCTCTGCCGTGGACTAGCAGCACACGAAACGATGAGGCAGCGGCATTGTGATAAGGAGTACGCAAGCAGCATGTACCATTGCCATGACGATCTGGCCAGCCCTGGCTTCGCATAGTTTTTCTGTGGCGCATATTGACGTGGCTGATACAACCGCTACCATGGCAGCACCCTGAAGCAGAAGCAAGCCCTTCATGAAGCTATGAAAACGAGAAATGGCGTGTCGTCGGTGCTGGAACAAGACGCACGTCAAATGCCACACCACGCTGAATATGGTCCCGTCATATGGTGCAAGTTATCTATATCCTTCCACCTGGCCAAATTGGGCGGTGAAACTATTTTTCTAAATGCGATGAAATTTGAAATATTCGAGAAAATATTGTGGAATGGCCACACTGTCAATGAGGTACCAATAAAGTCTGGGTTCCAAGACGGCGGGCGCTTGGGGGAATTGGCGGGTGCTTTTAGTCTGCCTTTGCCTAACAGTAAATCAGTGCCTCTCCACGGAGACTACACATTGAGGATGGAAAGGGGCCATGGCGGGGCACGGGTTGTTAAGTCTAGCGGTCGCTAACTGGGCCTGTCCCCGCGGTACGTACGGTACTCTGCGTGGTTGATTTGAAAGTGTCCATTGCCATGGTGCGATTCTTCTCGTGTTCCTCAACATGAATGGTAGCTCTCATTTCACCTAGCAACGTGCCCTTGTCGTTTGACACAATGGCTTTGAATTTCGTAGGTGGCTTTTGGTTTCTTTTTTGAGCCAACATTGTAAGGTCGTTGTCATGTTTGGGAGCGGGTTTGGCTCTATGCGAAGTGCGAACCCTCGCAAGGGCGCGGGTAAACCATCCCCACCGAAATTTTGAGGGCTGCCGTCTGCGTGGTGCGTCAAACATCTTCGTATTTTTATACGCTTCACAGCGCACCGGCAAGGGTGAACCTAAGCGATGTCACAAATCCGTGCGAGATATCACCGTGAGTCCGACCGACATGCTCGATCAAGACGAGTTGAACGATGCGCACACAGGAAACGGAGTCGTCCACGTTGGCACATACTGCTGTGCACAGAACACTGTAATTGCCCTTCAGAATGCTGTGACGTGCAAAGCACACGTTTTGGTACCGTAGTTGATTTGTTGACTCAAAAAACCTCCATAAAAGTATTTCTGTAGTCTACTCCAGAGTAAAGTGGTGGCAATAAAGATATGACAATTTGATTATTTGATAGCTACACTACTTCGTGCGTAAAACAATGATTATCCTGCACTTCTTAGGCCTCTGGTGTGCCCCTACACGCAATGCAGTTTGTGCCGAGTGTTCACTGTATGATTTGCTGTGTCATTTTACAATTAGTTTGAATCAGGTAGAGAAATAATGATATGACATGAAAAAAGAAACACATATATTAATGCAATTAATACGAAATCTTGCGACCTTTTGTAGCAACTACTTCAGCACAGCGTTTAGGCATTGACGCGACGAACTTTTGAAGCTCTTCAATGCCAATTTCATCCCAAACTTGAAGAATACACACCTTCAACTCTTGGCGGGACTTGAACTTGCGTCGGCCGATATCGAAAACGCGCCGGGACATGATT